TTGGCTTCCCATTACTTACTCACCATCACACAGATACTTAAGCAGACGAACAACCCCGTCTTTCCTCACCAATACCATCCATACCAAGATCGCAGAGTAACCATTTCAGAAACACTTGCTTCCATCTTTTCCCCTCCGCGTACCCCATAGAACGAAAGGATCGGGTTGGAGAAAAATGACTCAACAATTAGTTTCAAGTCCCTAAAGGTCCTCCCGTGACGGTAATCAAATATAATAATATATTAGGAAGAAATGGAAAAAAGATTCTTTTTTGGTTAACAAAAAGGAATTCTCACTAAAACTATTTAGAAGAAACTATTAGGAAATGAAAAGGGACCAGAACCACCTCATTGTAAAGGAACCTTGATTAATTATCAGGGGAGGAAACGTTGATAACTAATGGAAAACCGGGGGAGAAAAAAAACATTGGTGGAAAATGACATTAAGCACCCCATAATCACTCGCACTAAACTCTGTATCTTTGTTTTCGTCAATGTTTAGCTCCGGTTCCTATCTTCTCTCTACTCTCCTTTTTTGAAGGAAAAAAAAAATTACAAACACAAGGGCCGTAACAACAGATCATACGTTAAAAAATATAAAAATATAAAAAAGAACCCATTGATAGAAATCACCACAATCACAGCAAGAGGAAATCGTCGCAAGAGCAAAAAAAAGGGGGAAAAAGTGAAAAAAAGAAAAAAGGAAAGAAAAGAAGAGGAAAAACAAGAAAAGGAAAAGACAAGAAAAACCTCTTTTAAACCATTTTTAAAGCATGAGAAAAGGAAAAAGGCCAAGGGGAGTCAAGAAAAAAAGAAACCATTTAGTCAACCTCCTCGACAGTAGGACCGTCGTCACCACCACTGTGAGCACCGCCAGCTCCGGCACCAGGGAAACCGCCCGGTCCACCAGCGCCAGGGAATCCGGCACCTGGTGCGCCGCCCTCGCCTCCGGCACCGTAGAATTTCATCATGATTGGGTTGGCAACACTATTTTAACTCATTAGTATATGTTTTCTGTGTTTAGGCAGGAGGCAAGGATGAAAACTAGGATATGCGTACCTTTCAAGCTCCTTCTGCTGCGCCTCAAACTCCTCCTTGGTAGCAGTCTGGTTCTCATCGAGCCAAGAGACAGTCTTGTCGATTTCGGTCTTCAGCTTCTCCTTGTCGGAGGCGTCGAGCTTCTCATCGACCTTCGAGTCGCTGATGGTGTTCCGGAGGGAATAGGCGTAGCTTTCTAGACCGTTCTTGGCGGAGATGCGGGAAGCCTCAGCTTCGTCTTCAGCCTTGTACTTCTCGGCCTCAGCAAGCATGCGCTCGATCTCCTCCTTGGAGAGACGGCCCTTGTCATTTGTGATAACGATCTTGTTGGTCTTTCCAGTTCCCTTTTCGAGAGCGGAGACGTTCATGATACCGTTCGCGTCGACGTCGAAGGTGACTTCGATTTGAGGAACGCCACGGGGCGCGGGAGGGATACCGGTTAGCTCAAACTTGCCGAGAAGGTTGTTATCCTTGGTGCGGGCACGTTCACCCTCAAAGACCTGGATGAGCACACCTGGCTGGTTGTCGGCAAAGGTGGAGAATGTCTCAGACTTCTTGGTAGGAATAGTGGTGTTTCTCTTGATGAGTGGGGTCATGACGCCACCCGCAGTCTCGATACCGACAGATAGAGGAGCGACGTCAAGAAGAAGGATTTCATTAGTAGACTTGGAAGTCGTGTCGCCAGACAAGATGGCGGCCTGGACGGCGGCACCATATGCAACAGCCTCATCGGGATTGATGGACTTGTTTGGCTCCTTGCCGTTGAAGAAGTCGGATACAAGCTTCTGGATGCGGGGGATACGGGTGGATCCACCCACGAGGACTATCTCATGGACGCTAGATTTATCGATCTTTGCATCGCGGAGCACGCGCTCAACTGGGTCCATGGTGGAGCGGAAGAGGTCCTGGCAAAGCTCCTCGAAACGGGCACGGGTGATGGAGGTATAGAAATCAATGCCCTCGTATAGGGAGTCGATTTCGATGGATGTCTGTGCGGCAGAGGAGAGGGTGCGCTTGGCACGTTCGCAGGCAGTGCGGAGACGGCGGAGAGCACGAGCGTTTGAAGATAGATCCTTCTTGTGCTTGCGCTTGAATTCATTGACAAAGTGGTTCACGAGGCGGTTATCGAAATCCTCACCACCAAGATGAGTGTCACCAGCAGTGGACTTGACTTCGAAGATGCCCTCTTCAATGGTGAGGAGGGAGACATCAAAGGTGCCACCACCCAAGTCGAAGATGAGAACGTTGCGTTCACCCTCGGCCTTCTTGTCAAGACCATAGGCAATGGCGGCAGCAGTGGGTTCGTTGATGATCCGAAGGACATTCAGGCCAGCGATGAGACCAGCATCCTTGGTAGCTTGACGCTGGGAATCGTTGAAATAGGCAGGGACAGTAACGACAGCGTTGTTAACAGTGCCTCCAAGGTAGGATTCCGCAGTTTCTCTCATCTTCGTCAGGACCATGGAGGAGATTTCCTCCGGGGTGAACTGCTTCTCTTCGCCCTTGAACTCAACGGAGATGACTGGCTTTCCCGCCTTGTCAATGACCTTGAAGGGGAAGTGCTTCATGTCAGATTGGACCTCAGGATCAGCGAACTTGCGGCCAATGAGACGCTTGGCGTCAAAGACTGTGTTGGAGGGGTTCATGGCGACTTGATTTTTGGCGGCATCCCCGATCAGACGCTCGGTGTCTGTGAAGGCAACGAACGAGGGTGTGGTCCGGTTACCCTGGTCGTTGGCAATGATTTCAATTCTGTCATCTCGGAAGATACCCACGCACGAATACGTGGTCCCGAGATCGATACCTGCATTGAGAGTGAGAGAGAGAGAGAGAGAGAGAGAGAGATGTTAGTAATGGAGCGAAATGGGTGGCAGTATGGGAAAGATGCAGGGGTAGAGGGGTAGCAACGGTAGCGGTAGCTGTAGCAACGGCCACGTTCAGGGCAAACAAAGGCAAGCTCAGAGGAGGATGTTGGAGCTTACCGATAGCTGGAGCCATTTTCAAAGTATCAAAACCGTAGAGTCAAAAGGAAAGGGAGAATATGGAGTTTTATTTGGGAATCTTGTCGTGGGAGGTATATAACGCAGATGGGTATGATACAGCAGAGGGGGAGGGACGGGTGTTGTAGATGGGAGGATGAAGTATGCTTCAAATCCTGTGGTTGAAGAACGAAGAGAAGAGGAAGAAGAGAAGAGGAGAAAAGAGGAGAAAGCTACGTGAAGATAAAGAAAACAAGACAGAGGGGGTTGGTTGTTTTGTGGGTCAAAATTGGTTATATGTGATGCAGGCGGTGGGTGGTTTTGGGCGCCAGAAGCTTCTAGCAACCCTCAGCGGGTTCGATGGCTGTCCACCGCTTTCCACCACTATCAACACACACACAGCAACACCGGATCACGACTACGACGACAACGACAACAATAGGCTATTCAAGGGGCATGTATATGGGGGTGAGATCCCTCAATTCTTGCAATGGTAATTCGATTCCTCTTCGTAGTGGAATCTCCCCCTGAGAATGTTTCTGTATTATCCAACACAACACCGCAGTTCTCGTAGTTTCGATGTGGTCGATGGCGACGATGTTCCTGGTTGGAGCGGCCGCCCAAGAGAGGATATGACGTAATCAAGGTGGGATGATGTCTCTTCCGCTTCCGCCTTCTCCCAACCTACCGGAAAGAAGACAAACTCTACAACCCAGAGAGTAACCCTCTTCCCTCCCCCCCCCCAACTCCCGGGCTGTGGCAAAATATACCCTCCAAGAGCTCAGAGGGCCAGGGACACACACACCTTAGGAATCATGGCGGTTCTAGCGAGACAGACCCATTAAGGCAATATTACGGGAGGCAGGACAAGAATCTCAGGGAACCATCCCGGGGCAACCAGAGCATCTGAACGATCTAAATGACCGCTCCGATTAATCCTTTGCGTATTTTGCAAAGGTGCTGTACCTATGATGCCAAACTCTGCCTGGTACACCCGGGCAGGGACATGAAATTTTCAACAACTTACGTACGGACACCATTTTGCTGTATATACATGAGTGGAAATGAATATATACCTTGAAGACCAATGTGTGGTTTTTATCAATCCCTGTCATTTGGAAATCAGACTAAAAGGGGTTGACATCAAATTGTTTTGCGAGATGAGGGTCCACACTGGTGTGGTATAAGAATGGCTTTCATAGATTTTCACCACCCTGCCGCAGTCACCTATATTGTTTGAATCAGGAGAATATTTTAAGAAAATGCATTCTTGAAATACAGAAATTTTTACGGGATGTTTTTTGAGTTGCACCTCAAGCTCTTCAGTTTTAAGGCAATTACCCGATATTCACGTATAGGGAGGAAAAAAAAAAAAAAAAAAAAAAAAAAAAAAAAAAAAAAAGGCCATGTTTCAAGGTCCCAGAGAACGGGGAGTCTCAAGAAGCCATAGCCATTCAAGCGATGCCGATAGATATCTATAACTGGTGGCTAGCAAATAGACTGCTCAATGAAGCACTATATATTAATCCATTCGGACATTCTTTGTCGAACGAGGTATAAATGGAATTTCTATCACGGTCATCTTCCTATATACATACAGCGCCTCCGTAAATCGTTTAAGTATCGTTGAATGTTGCTGGCTAGGATCATTAACTACTAATTAGCAGACCTTCAAGAGGGCTTCGAGGGTCATCTGACTTGTTCGAAACCTCTTTAGCGTGAAATAGTCGCGACTCTTGCGCCTAATGACTCTATGCTGGGCTGGGTGATCCCCCCTCTTTGTATAATCATTCATCACTGGAGCTTCAACAAACAACAAACAACAAACAACAAAACCACCACCCTGACTAAAGACTTTTTTACCACTCCTCCTACAAGACAGGCCAATCTGCTCTACTACTTCCCTCCTCTATTGCTCCTTGAAGATCAACTTTCATTCCCCCCCTCCCCTTACTCTCCTAAATACCACACTCTCCCGCACAGAATGGGCGACAGAGCTGCTACAGTTGGTGACAGCGAAAGTGGCCTGGGCAAGGGCAAGGACAAAGCCATCGATGATCTGAGCATGGGCGAGGAAGAGGAGAACTCTTCTGATGAAAGCGTCGCTGAGGATGTGGTATGTATTTACCTTGGTGCTTGAAACACACACCCCCACCCCCCCAAAAAAAAAAAAAAAAAAAGAAAAACCCACGCCGTCTTTCCATTGACAGCGCACAGAGTTTGCATAAAATACGAATTCATTATGTGTATTCATTATGGAGGAGAAGAATTTTCACTAACAATCTTCTTGTTTGCACATTAAGGCCGCAGATGGTAAGAATCTGATTAAACCCCCCCTCCCCTTTCAAACAAATTTACCCCACCTAGTATATAACTGTAGCCTCCTGCAACCTTCGTCCTTAGAAGAAACATATCCCATCGCTTCCTACATGTTCTTCATCACAACCATTGCGCCCCACTTTTAACTTCTACAGCCTTCCCCAACCAAACCTACATACAAAACTAACACTCTCTGCAAAAACAACCAGAAGACGAAGACGACGCCCAGAACGACCTTGAACCAATCTCCACCTCCAACATTATCAGCGACGGACGACGAACCCGCGGCAAGACAATCGATTTTGCTGAGGCTGCTAGAAAGGCCCATGAAGCGGGCGTGCAGATTGACGAGGACGACGATGATGACGATGACGATTTCGAGGCGAAGGATGATGAAACTAATGTCAATGATGCAGATGATTTGATGAAGGATTGAGCGTGTTGAGAAAAATGGAAAATAATTTGTGAAGAGTGAGGGTTGAAGAGAATGGATTGGAGGTAAATCTGTTGAGAGATACAAAATGCCCCTTTTTTGTTTTTTTTCGCAAATACGAATGACGAAATGATAAGAATACAGCCAGCCGTCCAATGAGATCTATTTTTTTTTTTTTTTTTTTTTTTTTTTTTGGTTTTTATTTCGTGTTTTTCTTACGTTTTTCTAGATCGTTGACCTTTCACAAAATCATTTCTACTTTCTCAGTCTGGTTGATTAGAGGGGTGGTTTTCAAAGCATACGTGATACGCGATATTCCAAGCGGGCAATCGGGGGAATCAACAACAAGGGAAGAAGAGAGGCAAAAAAGAAAATTGATTATGGGATTTCATCATGTTTGGGGAATGTGGACTCTCCGTCTCTTTTCTTTTGTTTACTTTTTTCTTGGTCGTGTGTTTTCGCTCTTGTGGCAAGATAAAAAAAGCAGGGAGAAAGCGGACTGAGAAAAAGGTATGATTATTATATTGCATATAGACTCTTGCAAAAATTCCGAAATAAAATCCTACTTGTAAGAAGTAACTTATAGCAATTCTTTACTGGCTAGAGGATCAAAAGTAGCATGGAGTAACTCCGTACAGAGCCTACAAAATGAAATCGCCTTATTCCGTGAAGGAAACAGGAGACGACAACAATGAGAAATACGTTCAACAACCCAGCAGATTGAGAATCCTGCGCCTGCTTGCATAGGGATCTACATCTCAACCATCATCCCTACATCCTCTACATCTTCTTCATCCCCTTCATTCCCTCACTTCCCTCTTGTTTGTCCGTGGAGACTTCTCCAGATGCCAAGACCCCGTGCACAGCGCGCTCTTCCCACTAACTATTTGAGAGTAGTAGTGCAGGATGACTAAGCCCTTGAGCCCATTCAACCTTCGACTGTGGCATCAAAGGAGTTGACGCTGCTGGCCAGATATGTCAACATCTCAACATCTCACCTTCTGCTCCTCTAATCCCCATACACGTTATAATGTCTACCTCCTGCGATCTATGCTGACATCCCAATAATGGCTTCGAGGTATGTCTACGTCTATCCAACAGAGAGAATCCCCATTCCTGGCTTTTGTGCACCTTCCCATTTTTTTTTTTTTTTTCTCCGTAACACATCGTACAGGTTCACACATTCCTCGCTCCACCAGCGCGATCCTCGAGCCTCCTCGAGCCTCTTTGATTCATACGGCGGCAGCGACAGCGAGAGAAGCCGCCCACAACCTGGCCGGTCGCCGGGGAAGATTGGCGGATATGGCTTTTCGGGATCTCCAAATGGACATGTAGACAGAGAGTCTGCGTCGTATCGGGTCGCAACGCCGAATTCGAGGTATGTTGAGCATTTCCGTCTAGCACTGTCCAACTTTGCGTGCTTGTCGAATAGAAATGATAGCTGGATATCCCATCCATGATGCTGGAAAGAATTTATGAAGAAAATAATCAATCGGACGAATGGAACTGATTGCTCTTAGGGGCCAATATTCCGATGCAGTTCTTGACTCTCTTGAATCACAAAACGAGACGGAGCTCGAAGGCATGTCCGCGAAAGTGAAGTTGTTGAAAGACGTATGCAGCAAACCTCTGCTACCTGTTATTAATATTCAGTTATTCCCTCTGTGAACCAACTCCTCTCCGATTTCCGCCCCTCCTAACCTGGCGAAAAATTGCAGATAACAATAGCCATCGGCGACGAAATCCGCGACTCCTCCGCCCTCGCTGAAAAAATGAACGATACCTTTGACAACACTCGAGTACGGCTTCGCGGAACTATGAACCGGATGCTTGTCATGGCTCAGAAGACTGGCGTTGGCTGGAAAGCCTGGCTGGGTTTCTTCTGCGCTGTGTTCTTGCTCTTCGCCTATGTGTGGCTATTTTGAGCAAGCCCCTGAAATATTCAGTTGGTCCCGGGGGACTGGTCCTGAATATATAAGCTATGACACGGAATAAATCGAAACGAACTCGGAAGTGGAAGATAGAAGAAGAGGATATGAGATGGGAAACCAGGATAATTAAACCCTATTCGGCTTCTCCAACACAGCGCAGGTGGGACCTTATCTATGACCAAATTTTTCGAAAACCAATGCCCGTTCCTTCGATTTTTGTTACCCCATACGAATACCACATCCTATCCTCCAGGCCGTGCTACCGTGAACCTCGATCCCCATGCTATATGATGACGCTATAATATTTATACGTGTACCCTTTGTGACCATTCCCGCCTTCGTGTCCTCGTCGGCCGTTGTACATTTCAGCACCATCGCATATATGGAGTTCTTATTGTTGTTTCCGGATTCAACCCAATAATGAAGAGAGGAAAAAGTAGTTGGATTAGACATTTTTCACACCTTTTTCTTTAAATGAATATACGCAAAACCGGTAATTCTGGTAATTCTATTAAGAACATGGGCGGCGCGCTGCAAAGGCTTTTCGGAACTGTGCTTTTCACCACAACCTTCTCTTTTTTTACGTCTTTCCCGAGGTTTCATCATTATTTTACTGTTCATGATTAGTTCATCTCTCTCATTTTCTCAATTATTATTGTACTGAACGATCCATCATTGCTGCGAGACTCGACTTTTTTTTTTTTCTGTCTAGTCTTTGAACTGGTTTACTATAACCACGCATCCGATAATAATGTCCTGCATCATTCCTTTCTCTGTGGCTTTCATATTCAATTTGAATGGTAATTAGTGCAAGCTTTATCTCTCCCGAGTTTTGATAACTTTCTCTTTAGGCACTGATATCTATTAGGGGGTGGTGGGGTTTGCTAGCTCTAAATGAGATTATTGCTTTTAAAACTCCTTTCATTCTCTCTCCTGGGAGGTTATTTAGGTATCTGGGCGAAAGCGGTTGTGTTCTCTCCCCTCCAAACATGGCACTTCTTTGCCGATGGGTGATTGCTTATCAGTTTTATGACCAGATCTCATCCTCTTGTAATTATTTGAGCCAGCTCTCTTTTATGCTCTTTTGTCTGTGTAATAGAGCGGAAATATAAGCTTTTCACAATAGTGGACTCTACATACTGGATCCAAGCACTGTAGCGGAGATTGAAATAAAAGATTCAACGCACATCATGTACCATATAGAGATAACTGAAGAAACACATTCTACACCTGCTGTTAATTCCATCTCACTAAGTGTATAGCCTACAAAGATAACTACACCGGATTAACGAGACTGCCGCATGAATAACGCCTTGCTGCATTTCAAACAAAACAATTCTAGGCAGGTGGCAGATAACAAACCGTCATCAAAAAACGACAAAAAAAAAAAAAAAAAAAAAAAAAAAAAGAAAGAAAGAAAGAAAGAAAGAAAGAAAGAAAGAAAAAGAAAAAGAAAAAGAAAAGAAAAGAAAGAAAAGAAAAAAAAGGAAAGGAAAGGAAAAATTCCAGGGGTGGAGACGTAGAGTGAAATCTACAAATCAAGATTATTCTCAGAAGAAGCAGCCATCGCAGACCGCCTTCTCGGTCGCCTCCGCTGATTGCGCAAGTTCATGTTTTCCGTTGTAACAGAGCCAACCGGACTCCCATCTTCGCCCCGGCCCCGTAATCGCAAAAAAGAGCTTCCAGCATCAGTATCCAGGTGCACGGGGGACTGCGGCTGGAGACGCGGTAAGGGTTGAGCAATGGCGGAACTGCTTGAGTGGAAATTGTGCGCGGGGTAAGCGTGGGTATTATCTACTATTTCCATATCTGCGTCGACGTATGCCTCTGCCTCGTCGCTATCATCCTCGTCATCATCATCATCATCATCTTCTTCTTCTTCTTCTTCTTCTTCTCCTACGTCCCCATCAGTATCAGTGTGCTCCCACTCCTGGTGCTGGCTGATGCCATCCCCCCCTACGCTAGGGATGTCCGCGTCGAGATCGCGCTCCATCACACTTGGGCCCTCTCCCGATCCCGCCGCAGACATAGGGGCAGAGGGCATATCCTCGTCAAGATCAGGCTCAGGCTCAGGCTGGCTGTCGAAAAAGTCTTCTTCATCATCTTCCTCATCCTCGTCCTCATCACCATCGCTCTCGTCGTCACCATCACCCATCCCAAACCCATCCGGCACATCATCATCCAAATCTCTCTCCATCAACCCCCCATCCTCATCATCCTCCAACCCCTCCTCCCCCTCCTCCATCAACCCCCCCAAACCCCCACTCCCATCCGCATCGGGAATATCATCATCCAAATCCCTCCCCAACAGCTCCCCACCCAACCCCATTCCCGTCCCCATCCCATCACCCGTCATCGTCCCTTCAACAGTCCCCATCCCCCTTCCATCCCCCCCAAACTCCAAACCCAACTCCCCACCCAACCCCTCTGCCGCAGCAGCCCCTTCCTCCCTCTCCGCCTCCTCCTCCCGCACCCCCAGCATCGTCTTCGAGCAGCCCGCCGGCTTAATCCACGAAAACCCAAAGGCAGCAATGTTCTGTTTGCGAATGCGCAGCGCGTGTTCTTCCAGGAGTAATGTGGCTAGGGAATCTGATGATTGTGAAGCGGCTGCTGCTGCGGCCATTGCAGATCCACCGGACCGTGCGGGTTGCTGCTGAGCCTGTCGGCGCCGGCTTTGGGAGCCATGTTGCTGGTTGCTGGAATTGTTGGTGGTTCGGTTCGGTTGGGATGGGGTATACCAGAGGGCGTGGGACTGGGTGATGATTAAACTTTATTAGAATATTTGGGACACTGGTTAATTGAAGGAGGATGTAATTTATTGAAGGGTTCTTACATCACGAGGTTCTAATTGAGGGAGCGAGGAGAGCATTTTTATTTTATTTTATTTTACTTTTTTCTTCTTTCTTTTGTTTACCTTCTTTCAGTAATGTTCATCTCTTTCTTCACTTTCTCCCTCCTGAGGTGAGTTTTCAATTCCCATTGAAGGGAAGAATTCCAAATAGTGCGAGTAATCGTATATCGCGAAAAAGGAATAAATTTTGTGGTATGGTTCATTAGGCGTGTTATCTGATTTTCTCATCAAGTGAGGTTGTTGTAGCGTTCTGTAGATGCAACGATGAGGTCATTATGACATCACGTGATACATCTTTTTCAGTGGCTGAAAGTTGATAAGCGAAGCATATTTGAAAGTGGAGCATGAAATCGTATTGTTTGAAGAACAAGAAGAGAGTATGTAACTTCTTGAGAAATTCCTGTTGAAAGAAAAGAAAAAAAAAAAAAAAAAAAAAAGGGATAACTAGATACGGGTAATATTTGAATACATCAGAATTTAAAGATGGTATGCAAAACTCCATAAATGAATGCACTCCTAGTTAACTGGACCAAAACATGCCACGATGGGATTATTGTTAAAGTCCTCAGCTGCCCGTCGCTGATCATTGCTTTCTAGCGTGTTGGTGACCGTGCCATGGGAGAGCATTAATTCCTCGAGAGTTCCTGTATTTTCGGTGTTGGATGTGTCTGTGGGTTGGCCTGTGATGATGAGGGCTTGCAGGGACATGGAGGTAAGACGTAGCAAATGCATTATGGCTGATACAGGGCTGCTATGGCTGCTACACTTTGACAATTGAAGGTGGCTACAATGGCTGTAAAAGGAGGGAGTATCTTAGTATGGAATGCGTGGAATCGTCATGTCAAGCTACATCAAATCCGACCCATTACCATTCCCTTGAAGACGAAGGAAAATTAGGAGACTTGCATCAAAGGAAGAAAATACAAAGTAAAATAGTAATATCAGAAATCGATATAGAATCCCTGAATTAATTCACGAAAATGGAAATATGCCCTGTTTCAAGGGACTCTTCAAAGGTGCTGGATCATCATAAACCCTAAGCAGGGCGTCAAGCAAGTCACAGAGGTAGGGAGGTAGTTATCTGCTCGAGAGCAACCGCACTGCCAAACCCCACGGCTCGGTTATTGTCTTCATAAAGTTGTCATGAAGGCGCATATTGTGATATATTCTGACGATGGATCCATATCCACTCTGTAGAAAGTGGACAACTCTCGCATCCCAAGCAATGTTGGAAATTCCTCCACTGCATAGCCTCTAGTTAAATAAACTAAATAAACAAAGCGTGTACAAGAAGGGTTGAACCAGGTGAGCTGCAGTCAGTCAAAGAAGCAAGCTTCACAGAGCTGCAGTGAGCACAGAGAAATAACCACACTTAATATGCTACTAGTTACTGAGTTTAATTAATGTAATCCACCCCTGAGTGAACCACACCCCTGAGCGAACCATCAAATCCAAAAAAGCTTCAACTTTATAACTCACCCACTTCAATGTGTGAGAATGCCACCAATTCGCAATAAAAATGTCAGAAACTCTATAGAAATAGAGAAAAGAATTGAACTCATGATAAAACCTTTAAAAAATAATGAAATTATCTTAATTTGTGAAGCTACATGTTTTTATAAGGTTCTATATACTATTTTACATTATAGACTTAATGACTGACCTGCACATATGAATCTACATGCAAATTCAATCAAATTAACTGAGTCTGAAGAGAATCAACTAGTTCAGTAAATTTTAAATCTGACAAAATAAAGAATACTCTTTTAGTTAGTATTTGTTGAGAATATGATCAATTATCTTTTTAAACTTTAGTATTCAATCTTTATTTCAATCTCTGTTCTCTAAGTTAGCAAGAATTGAATCTGCAAGCTAATTAAATATTCTACAGAGCTTCATTGCTACTATTTCAGATATTATAATTATGAGTAAGCTAAATATAAGAATATAAAAGTTATTCAGACTTGGTTTAAGATCTTAAAGAATATAATTGCTAAATATAAGATTATATTTGAAGATATATATAACTTTAATGAGACTGAGTTTGCAATAGGGATCTATGCCACTACTAAGATTATTACTAGTAGTGAGTGCTATGACTGAGCAAAGCTTCTACAGCTTAAAAATCAGAAATGAATAACTATGATTAAAGCAGTCAACATATCAAACTTAGTTTTATCTTCATATATAATTCTTAAGGATCAGAAGCTATAGAAAAGCTGATTTGATAAGCTTTTAAATGACTGAAGACTTGATGTTAGCTCTAATAACTGAACTACAGATAAAATAAAAGTTAAATGACTTACTAGATTATTTATTTCTACTGCAAATTCACACAGAATTGACACTTATCTTCTTCTTATTCTGAATAAGTATGATAGTCATTTTATCTCAAAATTTAAGTATATCTACAAGAAGAATAAAATTATTCTTCTATGCATGCTAGCACATTTTTTTACATCTCTTGCAGTCACTAGATATGAGTGTTTTTGCACTTTTAAAACACATATACAATAGCCTTGTTGAACAGTAAATGCAGCTTAAATTCAATATCATTAAGAAGACAGACTTTATAAATGCCTACTTTGTAGCATATATACAAGCTTTTAAAGCTCAAAATATTTAAAGCAGCTTCAGAGCTACTGATATAGTATCATTTGAACCAGATCAAGTTATTCAATAGTTAAATATTCAATTCTGAATTTCTACTCTCTTGATCAGCAGATTAAGCAATTCAATCTTATTCTTAATGCTTCAAACATCTAGTAATCTGTGAAAATTAAAGCAGCAGGTCAAGAAGATTAAAAGTTTTATGAAAAGTTAGCAGTTTCAAGGTTTAGTAGAAGACCTTGATCAAATTATCAAGATCTATGAATATGAGATAGTCAATATCACTATTATAAAAAAGTAATATTAGAATATATTCAATGCAAATGAGAAAAAGAAGCAAAAATGCAAGAAATTTGTCTGAAGAATTCAACGAGAAGGAGATTTAATCAAACAGGAAGCTACTCAGCTTGCTATTTTAACTGCTGCACTCATTGAACAATTAGTCATTTAATTCTCTATGTCTTCATCTGCAGAATTTCAATCATGCTCAAGAGTTTCACAACAGTGCAGCAATTGCAATTTGCCTAATCATAAGAGAACAAGATGGCCCAATTCTAGTGTAAATTAATTTAATTTAATAAGGCATTGTTGATATGAATATTTCAGGTTAAATTCTAGCTAGTTGAAATACGATGATTTTGGTGGTTCAGTCGGGGGTGTGGTTCGCTCAGGGGTGGATTACATTAGTTAACTAGTTAACTAGGAGTGGATTATGTAATAGCCAACTACCGCCCGCCCGCCCGTGCTCTAGTCCGGATGCAGCCTAGCGCTCTTTGACTTCCGCCAAACCAACAAATTAAAAAAAAACAGTAAAAAAATTTTTGGAGCTTGGGAGACATGTGTAAATAAACGACATCCCCGTATTCATTGGCACTGTTTCTTCTCTGTTTCTTCTCTCTCTGTTGATTTCGCTTCATTCCCCTGCTGCGTGCTTCTTTTTCACTTCTCTCAAATCCCGTCCTTTCGTTCTGCGGCCAGCTTCACCAATTTGCGAATATCATATCATGTCTCCTCCTGCTCTTGTCGCTCCTGGCGCAGGTTCTGCCGCAAAGGATGTGAAGAGAGAGTCGGGGATTGCTCGACTTCTCGGATCGGGTACGTTGGCATTTTCACCCGTTTCTCGGAGAGAATAGAAAATAATAGCCGATTTTCTAACACGGCTCTATAGGATGCTCTGGCATTGCTGAACTTCTTATCTTCCATCCCGTATGGTCCTTAGCACACCTTTCAACTACTTCTAACCAACCCCCAAACTAAGGCCGCCTTCACTAGGTTGATACCACCTCAAAACGTTTAATGAGTCATCATGGAAAGGTCAGTTGATCGGACGCGGATGCGGATGGGGGATGCCCTTCGTTGATTTGTTCAATGTAACTTACATGTTTCAAAGATCACCAATGTTTCGCAATTGAGCACAGTCATTTTCAAAGACTTTGCCTCTGCCTCCGTCGCGTCGAAATTTACCTCTCTTTTCCCTGGTCTAGGATATGCAGCTGGATACAAGGTTTGCCTTTCTGGTGATATCCCCTCTGGTTTTCGTATTGCGCATTAATGAATCCGTCGTTTTTAGGTCTTGCAACGGATATACAAGTATGGTGGACAGCCATTTGTCCGGGATTATCTGGAGAAGCACCATGGCTCTTCATTCGACAATGCATTTGGCAAGGGCACGGGAAAGGCAATCATGCATGCCACAGCTGGAAGGTAAGGGGATTGAATTCAAGACCAACGTCGATTCATGAAAGAAAGAGAACAAGGATCACCAACTAAACTATTGTTTTCCCCCTTTTGATTTTAGTTTGATCGGTATTGGAGAGATAATCCTTCTCCCTCTTGACGTCCTCAAGATCAAGCGTCAGACCAACCCCGAAGCATTCCGGGGCCGTGGTCTCTTCAAGATTATCAAAGACGAGGGCATGGGTCTTTACCGCGGCGCAGGGTGGACCGCAGCGCGAAATGCCCCAGGTTCCTTTGCAGTATGTCAAACTTACCTCAATCCACGCATGTGATACCCCCCTCAACCCCCAAAATTGGATCTAACAACGCACATTTCATATAGCTCTTCGGCGGCTCCGCTTTTACCAAAGAATACTTTTTCGGCCTAAAAGATTACAACTCCGCCACGTGGCTTCAGAACTTTATAGCATCGATTGCTGGCGCGAGCGCCTCACTTATCGTCTCCGCTCCACTGGATGTCATTAAGACACGGATTCAGAACCGAAACTTCGAGAATCCAGAGTCTGGCTTCCGTATCGTAAACAGCATGATCAAGAATGAGGGCCTGACTAGTTTCTTCAAGGGATTGATGCCTAAGCTCCTCATGACGGGGCCAAAGCTTGTCTTTAGCTTCTGGCTTGCGCAAACGTTGATTCCGGCGTTTGGGAAGGTTGTGTAAGGTCCGGGAGCGAATTAATAGAACTAAATTTCTTTTGCTCCTGATTTTGTTTCATTTTATTTTTACTATTTTTGTATCGTGCGCGACTTCACGACATGTTCGGTTTCGGCATTTGTTTTCCTACTGCATACTTCTTTTCGTTTATTTTTATATGAAGTCAGTTTATGCTTGGGGTCTCTATTTAACGAGCGATTGTAATATACGGTTTCACCCTCCTCTTCGGCTTTTTACTTCAATTTCTGCTCATTCCTCTATAGTCAATGACCTTTCTATACAGGACAGGACGGATTGCGATATAGGCGTTTAAATGGATATATGATTTCCTTGCACTGTGGATTGACCAATTTCAATTTCATCTTGAGTGGGGGCTGACTCCTCATATCCCTGAATTTCCATTCATCGGTCCATGGGGTTGATTGGCAGCATGTCGAAATCCCTTGCAATGTCTATCCAATGTGCCCCCACATACTATGCTGCCGATTCTCAGGCCACCATTAATATATCACTACCCAAGAGATTAAGCGTCTGCTGTCGTCTCAGCACTTATACAGACAGAAATCTGCTCAGCGAAAAAAATGACTACCATATGCCCGGTCCATCCGGCTCTCATTATCTGGGGATATCTGGATAGATCCCTGGAAGATTATCAGATATAAATATCTCTTGCCCTGCGCTGTGCAAAGCAAAACGCCCTTTGAATATTGCCAAACGTTTCCGCCCAGGGCTCCGTCCAATCAACATCAACAACAGTAACCTCCAAACCCAACCGACGACTCCCGATCTCCGTTCAAAGAGCCTTAACATACATCCAGCTGCCCGTTGTATTACATCAATAATACATGAAGGGAGTAAATAAAATAAAGGAATATCCTCATCATGGCTGCCGCGGTTGTCTACCCACACCTCATTTCAAAGTGAGTAAATCAATCCAATCAATCAAACAATCCAGCTCAAAAATCTTTTCCCCCCGGCAACCTTCCCACCCGACCCAAGTAGTATTGCATTCCCATTTTTTTTAACACAATCACGCATAGAATCGCCGACCCCCTCTTTGCAGTCTTTATCGGCACCTCAGCAGCCTTCGTGCGCATCCGCCGCGAACATAAAGAGAAACACCCTGACCAGCCGGCCGATGCGCGCTATCTGTTTAACCTTGGCACAACGAGGGTGAAGAGGTGGTGGGGTGGGTGGTCGGAGTAGATTTGGGGGGGGGTTTGTGTGGATATTTGGGAATTTGGGGATTTGGGAACTTGGGAACTTATAGCGAATGAAGAGCGAAAAGTAAACTGCTCTCATGTCAAAATCGTTAGATTGCGGAGGACTGTGGAATCTCCGCACCCACGAGACCGGATATTTCAGAAGCTAGCTCCACGGATCA